TTCCCGTAACTTTCAAAATGCTAATGCTGAATCGCGGACAGAATTATTATGGATCGGCGAAGTGATTAAAAACTTGCGATTAAATCAAAGACAATTTTAATTACCCCGTCCGTCCCCACCTTTTTATCTTGTTTCACGTGAAATTTAATTCCGCTTAAATTCAATAACGTAATAAGCAGAAATTTATTTAATCAACGACGCGAGCGACTGACACAATTCGTTTAAGCCACGAACGAATTCGTTTGTCAGCTTTTTCCCCATTCTTCCTCCTGTTTCAGGTCAAATGAATTCCGGTGAATATTCAAGTTCAGACAGAAAGTCATTCAATTCATATCATACATCCGATTACACAGGACACTATGTCATTTATATATTTCATTCTCATTTTTATGTAGAATCTATTATCTCACGAAACACGTTTCGTGTTGCTGCAATATGTATTATCAAGTATCGGATGATCTACGACAAGACGCATGTTTCTAATGCAATAATTATACACTTCGGAGTGATCAGTAATCTACCATACACACACGGTATCTGCGACTCATCAGGAACAAACGAAAGTAATTTCGAGCAGCACGCTATCTGGATGAACGTCCGATGCGAGGTACAAATACGAAAGCCGGAAGGGGACTGAACCGGACAGTGCCTATCGTTAATAGAACGTTATCATAACAGATGTACAATTATGCGAAGTGTTCGAAGCGACGGGCGCGTATAGTGGCGCGTTTACGCTTGTAAAGCCACAATTTTCCTTGTATAAGCGACTCGGACCGGTGGTGGCGGTGTTCAGGTTGCACTCTCCTTCCGACGAGGGCTGGTAGAACTCGAGAAGGAGGGTGCTTTCGGGTGGAAGCTCTCAATATGTCCGACCTAATCCTCTCCCAGAGGAGGAGACCGGGTCCCCTCTAGCGCGTTTTACTTTGCAATACGTACAAACATTTCGAGCCCAGCTGCGCCACCGGGATTTAGGAGCTGAGCGATTAATAAATGCTTCGTACGACGACGGGAGAGAGGAAGAGAGAGAGAGAGAGAGAGAGGGAGAGAGAGTGGCCGACGCTCGCTGGCACCGGGACTCTCCGACAGCCACTCGACGAGGCTGCCCGTGATTTACCGTTCGGTCTCCGCGCGTCTGCATTGAAGCTACCGCGTCTGGATTTCCGCCGATCTCGTGGCATCGTTTTGATTTAGTGTCCTCTTCGTGGCGTTTGAAATATCGCCCAGGTATCTGTCTTTCGCTCTTCCGCCGCGTTACGCTTATGCCAATTTGACAAATTAAGGTTACGCGCCGCCACCGTGGATTTTCTCGTTAATATCGTTTCCCGATCGACCGTTCAATAGTCCATGTCAATTTATGGAGTTCTCGTTGCGAGAGAAGATTGTCCCATCAGATTTCACGTTATCTTACGACTTCGTTCTTAATGAAACAGCCACACTTGTTTCGTTGTAATCACTTCGTAGCTGAGCTAATGTAATCTTCGGCAAATAAAAATTACTTTCGTCGAAGGAAAAAATTATAAATTGGTTATGCGTGTTGGGGCACGACGCATTCGGCTAATGGAACGAAACCACGCAGTGCACGTGACAGCAGAACGATTAATCACCGATAACTATCGGCCGTTTAATATTCCCTCATAAAATGCTAGATCGAGGGAATTATTGATTCATCATAGTTTCTGTCAGTGGTGTCGTTAGTGGGGATCATACTGATCTATTGACCTCACACGATCGACAGTTGAATAAGAATAACTAAGATTCGATCGTTACACGGAAATATTTCATTCGATTATTATAATAATTATTAACAATTGATTAATTGAAGCATACGGAGGATCTTATTCGCACGCTCCCGAGGGAACGTCTATTTCGAGATGATACAATACCGATAGTCGAAGGGCTAGGTATGAATTGCGGGGTTGAAGTATCTTCGCAACGAAAAGAGGATCAGGAAATGCGGGGTCACGCGATGTTATTACAGGTTTAATACGCGAAATTGTTCCGGCGCACGAATATTCGTTTAATGTTAACAATAGACCGCGCCACGCGGCGAATGAATGTGTACAGTGAGTCGTGGGAGTTCACCTCCCGCTTCAACGACGACTCTACGCGGTATTATTGGCCTTAGTCCGTTGGTAGCAACAGTGCAGATCTAACCGTGGAACCCTCCCACGCCCGCAGACGAGAACCACCCTTGGACCCGATTCAAATAGTATCTCGTTCCATTATTCATAAACATTTTATAATCTTCTTATCGCCGTGAATTATTGCTGCTCGTACAATTGAAATAATGCGAGCTCGAGGCCCGTGTCAAGGGATGCCGCCACCCCCGCCCCGATCCGGGATCCGTGTACGCCGAAAAAAAGGAACGAAGGAGCCGAGGGGAATTGGAAGGAGACGGAAGGAAGAGGGAGCGATGGAAGACAGGGAACGAGGCGCGGAAACGTTGGCACGGAAACGAGAAAATAGAACGAGTTCGTTCGCTGAAGTGGTGTTGAAATGTTTCGAAGCGAGGGAAAAATAATTGGACGAAGAGTCTGTCGTTACTATGGCATCGGAGGAATGCCGAGCGCTCCCGGAACGATGACGAAGACAACCGTCCCGTCCCGGCCCGTCGTTGTCGTCGGCGTCCGCGTCCGTGTCTTTCCATAAAGTCGTCGAACCGAGTTCCCTTCTTAAACTCCTCGTTACTGAGAAGTCTTTTGCTACCTTTCGAACTACCAATCTAGGCAGTATCATCCGATAAGGGAAGTTATTCGAGAACAATGAGAGGACTGCCAATAACATTCAAGAAGATTGTAATTCCCGGGATGTTGTCTGAGAAAATCTAAGAGACGGAACGATATTTGTCACTTCGAAGCACTCGCAAGCAGTTTTTTCCTTCGACTCGGCGTTCTAATGACTAATTAGTTTTTTTTCCAATTTACTAATATCCTTAATTGAGATGAGAAGCTATGTAGGGACTAGCGAACATTTCATTATCTTAGTCCTGCGTTCTGCGGTGACGGTTATTACGATAAGGCTCGCTTATAATTAGAACGCTGTACAATTTCTGCGTAAAGCGATATACAGATGAAGTCGTATAGGAGAGACCTTCTTGATCTCTCTATTACGTCACGGATTAGCTAGTTATGAAACTCGAGCGAGCCCAGGCGACCGGTGATGAAGCGTGTTCGGAAAGTTTCAGTCAGGACCAGGACGGGAACCAGGATGAGGGATGTAACGGTAGAGTTGTACGGAATAAGCGATCAGTGCCTTTCTGTAGGGAACATATCCTCCGCTTCGAAACTTGATTACACCCGCTTAAGGATAACTGCAATTACGTCTATTAACGTAAATTCGTTTCGTTACTTAAGCCGTACGCTCCATTATCTTGTATTTTAATTGAGTGACAATCTTCACGAGCAGAGGAGAAGACGATCATGTAAATTAATCCGAATTTTTTTTTTCTTAAATTATTAGTAATTCTTGTAAGCCATTGATCAATCTGACTGTCGATTAATCGCGAAAATCATGATGATATGTATCACATTTATACGATCTTAATTAAAGAGTTTGAAAAGCACGTCTCCGTCAAAAGGTCTCCTCTTTTTCAACAAAGAACCAAACTGACTTGTCGACGACAGGAACTACGGTCGTAGATAGAAGAAAGAGCAGAGCGGAAAGGGAGAGATTCGGTATGAATAGGGAAGCAGGAATAGATGAGCAGGAGATTGGTCTTCGTAAAGCAAAGTACCGTGTCGTAGAACATTTGAAGGAACATTCAAGCGTTGTTCGCTGAACAACTTCGACGAAGTTCTCTCTTCGCATTACAAATCTTCGCCGCGCATAGCCGGCGTGGGAGTACATAACACAGTGAGATTATAAATTAATGCTTCGAGCGATTTCGCAGGCCACGAATCGAAATCTAATTGTTTATTAAAAATCGTCACCTGCCGGTGAGAATTTATTTCGTTTACGCCTGTTGCCTGCTCATCCACGTGACCTCGCCGCTTTTCTTTATATCTTCCAGTAACCTAGTTCGTTTCACAGATTTTCTCTTTTTTTTTTTTATATCTCGTTCCCGCTATTTACATCTGCGCTTTAATCGTTTTGCTCGACAATTTCTCCTCCTTTGCTGTTAAACCTCCTAGAAACTTGAGCCATCTCCTCGCTCGCAGCTTTCCATCTTTATACGAAAATATTTAAATTTCACCTGGCTCGTCCAGCGGAAATTATTGCCTTTCTTGCCCCATCTGAGCTTCCTCCGAGTTCCTCCTTCTACTGCCTCGACAGTTCATCATCCCAAAGGTAACCTTTACTGATCCGTGAATTTCACTCCTTCCTGGGCGTAACTACTCCAGATATAAACATAGCAGCGTTGGTGGCGGCAATAAAAAATCTTCAAATGCCATCCAGCTTGAATCACCTTTCCTCTTCCTTCCCGTCAGGATTTAGTCGTGCGTCATTACCGGAGTCAAGCGAGAAATCTTATTCGAAGCCTTATTTCCGCTACAACTATTCCTTCCATCGTCCCACGATAAATTCCACGAAATCGATTCGTCTACGTTTGCAATTTTATTTTTAATACAAAGTGTCTCCGGTTTATAAAAAGGACTTCTTAGAAGCGATACGAGTTTCTCGTGATTCATTATGGTTTAATAACGAAATTCATTTCACCGTGATGAAACGATGAGCGAGGAAATTACAAGGAAACCTTTGACTTCCCTTTATTTTTCAATTGGAATTCCAGGTATTTTCAAATAACTATTACAAGAGCCGTGGTACAAATATAACAAGAAGTATACCGTAATATAAAGAAGTGTCACGTGCACTCTATCATAATATACCGTTTAACGTACGCGTCGTTAACTGTTATTATTATTATTATTATTATTATTTTCAGGAACGTTATACGTTCCGCGAAATGAATTCCTCCTCTGATTAGCAATCTCAAAAGGCCGGCGACTTTCATTACGCGGGGATCATTAAAACTTCGAAGAGAATTTATACTTCTTACTCACCTCTGCTACTGCCGTCGGGTCCTCGGAGGATGGTACACTCCTCTATTGTGCCAAAGGCAGTGAACAACTGTCTGACATCGTCTTCTGTTTGTTGCTTGCTGAGCATTCCCACGAACAGCTTTCTGTCTGCGGGTCGGCCGCGTGTCGTAAGAGAGGGAACAGAGAAAAAAAAGAAAAAAATATGTTAGTTCGTGGCTCCTCGGAACGGGATCGGTTTCGCTTATAGCGGTTTTTAGGCATTTAGAAGAGACGTTGCGGCTAACACCGAAAACGACAAAGTTACACGGTTACACCAGCATCCACCATCCTAAGGGTGAGGGAGGTACAGGGTATAAACAGATAGATACACATACGTACAATATGTATATCTATGCACGTAGATTCTTATATGTATGTAAATATATACATATACGATCTGTGGTGAATATGCAATATAAATGTACACGGACACGTAGCATGTAAAGTACGGGTCGCGCTTTCGAATCACATTCATGTAACTGGGTTCCAAATTGCATTGTATATGTATACACATATATACGCTTCCACTATACGGGTATACGTAACGGATATATAATATATAAAGTGACAGAGATAAGAAAAATATATTCGGTTTTAAATACTGACACTGGTAATATGATATAGATATAATATGTAACACCACGTACAACGTGTGAACAGTGACGGTGAAACGTATCTCAAAACGGGAATTAAGAGAAGGTTCAATATAAAATAACAACAGAGGGAACGAAAATAATTCATTAAATTTCAATCCTACGTCCTACACCACAAGCCGAAGAAACAAATGGAGAGAGAACGGGATTCGTGTTAAAAACCAGACGGGGCGTACAAGCGACTCGACCACGGCCGGAACTCTACCGTGGTGTTCACATTTGACGGAATTTCTTTTAACGTGACAACAAACGGACAGTCGACCCGAACGATTTACCTGTAAAACCGGCAATTTAAATGTTAACACCAACGACTGTTCCGCGTGGTGCCGAGGTCAACAGATCGCTTATAAAGGGTCACACGCCACTTAATTTTTTTATAATTATTCTTCCAAACGGTCTGCAGCTATTTCTAACTTGCCCGCGAGAGTGAAAAATGGAGAGTACCTAATTGCAGTATCGTTTGTTATTTTATGAACAAGCTCCGGGCCTGATCGTTTATTACCTTTCACATGAACGTGTACCAATTACACAGACGGCCAAACTTTTGAACACGCAATTTATTACGACGTACATAGATCGTACGAAAGAGAGTTACGCGTATGATAAACTTTTAAATATAGCGGAAATATTCTCATTTTAATAATACATCACCCCGGCAACGTTGCATTTTATGCAGTTTACGCGTTTCATTGCAAAATTCTGTTGCACGCGATGATCATGTAAATTGCGCCGCTCCAAAGTTCGGCAATTTGTTTGAAGTTATTCCACGTGAATATGGTTAACAGTATTTTTCGCAAGTTCGTTAAAAATTTTCGTTTCTGTCATGTGCCGCGTCTGTCCGTCGTTCGAAGCCAATTAATCCAGTACGTACATAACGCAGTTACGTACGTCTTTTAGAAATATCTGCACTGAACGTGTATTACGCGTGTACGTGTACCCCTGTATAATAACAATGATAACAATAATAACAAGTAATCGTGGATGTGCAAAATCGACCGGGGCTACGGTGACAAAAGACGTAGCGAATTATAAGGAGCGTCATGAAAGTCTTCTGATAATTATAAGGAGTTCGGCAGAACGGGAGGGATGAAAGGGGCAAAAAAGTTTTCAATATAAGTAGAATCATGTCTAAGTAATACAATAAGATAAACGTAGCTGACATCATAATTAGAAAATATTTACAAAGGTGATAAAAAACACATCGACAACGAACGAGACAACACATCCAACGAGCGAGCCACTATTTTATGGTCATAGCTGTAAAGAGCGGTATAGAGAGTGTATATATAATATATATATAGGTATATATATACGCTTATAAGGTGGTTGCCCATACGAACGGATAAGGTGAAAACTGGAGACGGAATTCATCAAGGAGTCTGGATTTTACGAGACACACGATATATATATATAGATATATATAATTCGGCCTTCGGATTAAAAAAAGGAGGTTCTTTTTAAGACGCGGTCGGTAGACGCTCTAAGATGAATTATACTTATCTCGGCTATTTTTAAAGCATTCCTTTTTTCAATGGTCGAACGAATGGCTACTTTAATATATGGGATAGGGGAGAAAGATTCAAGAGCGTCCACGCGGATACCGCCGTAACGAGGTTTTAACAGTGTAGTAACACCGGTGCGCAATAGCTAGAGCAAAAAACACGAACGACAAGTTTACGGCTACTAAATAAAGGTTCACGCATGTGGGCACGCACAACATTGTTTATAATACCTTAGTGTGTGTCACCCGTGTTGTATATCCGTGCATTTTCGTTCGGATAAAATGGATCGGGAGTGACGGAATGATCAGGGGTCTCGAGTGAAAGATGCATTCACCAAATTCGCGTTTCCTGGTATTTAACATTCTGATATATTATATATATATATATAAATAAAAAAAAAAAGAGAAGTTCGGTAGAAAGTGAAGTAATTAGCTTTCGTGCGGATTATTTGTAGCTAGAGAAATTGAGATAAGGCCGAAAATGATATTTCTCCCGCGGTGCACGGAATTTTGATTCCGGTTTCTTTTGAAGATAGACATACGCCGGGTGTGCATCGAGCGATGAAATTGGACGGCGCGCTGCCGCGGCGGTGGTGGCACGGAGGAAAGGAACAGGGAAGGAAGATTCGTGAAGGAATGCCGGGATTCGTGGGTCAAACACTAGCGAGCAGCAAAATGAACTTTGCGGCGAGCTGTGCTGGCTGAATCAGCGGTGATGGCGTGATGAGAGGAGGAAAATTCGTTTCTTTTCTTTTCTTTTTTTCTCATAGAAGGGTTTCTCCTTCTGCCGATTTCCGGAGAAGAAGAATAGAGGTACTGGAAGGAAGCTAGCTATCTCCTGGAAGTCGAAGTTACCTTCAGCAGCCGCCACCGGTGCCTCCTACTTCCAGAAGATGGCACTGGTGCTCCCGTCGTCCATCATGCACTCTGGAATACAGAACAGAAACAAAGAAATGCCATTGGGCCCAAGTACACTATTTTGGTATTTTTTTTTTTTTTTTGTTCTCGTCGTTGTCTATATGTATCCTCGCAATTCAGACGTAGAACGTTATTCGAGAATCGAGCGGAGACCAACGGTCACGAATTCAAATAACGTATTTAGCGCTCATAGTAATCCCCGGTTCGTTTATGAGCTGGATCTCTCGAAGAATTCAGAGACTGGAGGGAACGCGTCTCAATGGCGAGACGGTATCCCCATTATCCATGAGTTTCCAAGTACACGCGGTCGCGAGCCGGCTGGAGAGAATCTCAATCGGGCGTAACATGTTTTATTGCAAAATTTTACATTCCATGGAGAACGGTAGTCGAGAACGCGGGCGCGGTATACGCGCGCTTTCGATTCATCGTGTTTCTCGCGTGAACGAACTTAATGACGCGTTCTCGCGAGGTTATGGAGATGCAAAATTGGCGAACCAAGTTTAAAGGTCGTCGTCGCCGCGGCTGCTAGACGCGAACTCATTCCAAGCTGCTGGCCCGGCTCGCACCTTCCAGCCAGGCTTCGGGGCACATTTAAGGATTTGTCTCGGGAAATTAGATTCTCGCCTGACTTGCAGCCTCGTTGCATCCCTATTCTCCACGGATTCTTACCCCTTCGTCCACCCCTGCCCATCCCCGCGTCAACGTGTAACCCCGCGCCGTCGACGACCCCTCTCTCTACCCCCCCCTTTCACTTTCTCACACTTCCTTCCGCCATTCCTTGACAGAGAATTCTCTCCTCCTTTGGTCCCGAGTACTTTTCATCGAGCGTTTGTTCCCATTGTCGTACCAGGACACCGTGGGGACCGAGAATTGAACCTTTGTCGCGCGAGCTAAGTGTTAACGTGCCCTTCGCGTTTCCTTTTCCCGGTCTAGAGGGCCTCCAAGAAATCGAGGAAGGAATTAACCCTCGGGAAATTATCTTCTCGCCGGACTTCGGGAGAACAAAGCGAACATACTGTTTGACACCGTGATTCCTTCCCTCGTACTAACACGTTGATCCTCCTCCCTCCACATTCGTTTCCTTTATTCCGAGTCGTTCTTTAAATTGGTTTTCGCTGTTCCCTTCTTATCACCGTTGATTCGATTAAGAAAATATTAGGAACCAATTCATCCGTAGATATTTGAATTCCGGATGAACACGGCTTTCTAAATGATTGTTTAACATGGACATTCTATTCTGGTGTCGTGTCGTGTAAAAAAATAAGTTATACGTGCTTGTAATTTTCGTTACGCTATTTTTACGCAGCAGCAAGAAAAACGCTCGATAACATAGTATTTATATGGTGATACCCAGCGAGGCTTGAATTATAATTTTCACCTATAATCGATCGTATCTCCGATATTTTGAAACTTTTATTTTTCTAAAGGTCTTCAAAAATTATGCGTGAAACGATCTGGACTGGCACGAAAACTTTCAAGCCAGCGTTGAGCAATTTTTATTCAGGCGTCCCTAATTCCTGCATCGATACGCGTTATTTTTAACGTTAATCGCGAAGCCTTTAATTACATAATTCGCATCAACTTGATCCACGTGCTAAATTCTAAAAATACTTTGACCTCTGAAGTTGTATTGCGTAGTGTTGGTATCAATGATGATTAAAATCTGAACGTAAATATTAAAGCATCGTTCTTTTTTTAATAAATTTTCAATGATTTCGGAATTCACGTCGCGTTGAGGAACTGAGATTAAAAATGACGTAAGTCACTGTGGTTAAATATCATTCGAAGTTCTCGCATGTTTCATAAGCCCTCAATCGTCGAGTCTATAATTAGAGATACCCATACGTAACTTTATATCGGGTTCGTGCTATTTACGACGTCGTTTCCAAGTCCGACGAAGAGCCACGTTGGACCCTTCATAATCCGCGATGATCACTTCCGCAGCGAGGTGTCTCGCGTCACGTCGGCTAACTCGAAGTTGCCAGCAATGAGGGCAGTAGCAGGAGTGAAGGCGGCAGCAGTCTTCGAGACTCCCGACATCCCGGGATACGTTTATCTGCCCGAGCATAGTACGGCGAGTGATGGCGGTGGAAGCAAGGTGGCTCGCCGAGGGATCGAAACTTATCTACTTGCTCAACTAGCTGCTCTAGTACACCGGCTACCCTTATCCACTCGCGAGTAACTTCGACTACTTCCATCTACCTACCTACCTACCTACCCTCGAGTTCGAGCAAGTTCAGCGCGAGATACGCATTTCTCAAATCTGTTTCCGTCCGTTGTACATTTAATTCCGTGCGCTTTCGCGAGACGTTCGACCGTTGCTACCGGGTTTTGAAGGGCCCGAGATATCCGGCGAGGATATCCTCCCCGGCTTTACACTGGATCACGTCTTGCAGCTGTCAGTCGTTTCGTGAATCCGTATATTCCTTTTCTACTCGGGAAAAATTTAAATAAAAGTCGAATGTGTATAAAGCGTTTCTATCTCGTCGATTGAACAATCGCGAGAACGCAGAGATCGTCCATAGATACGCGAACGAAGCAAATATGTAAGAGAGGAGTTGGAAGTCGGCGTAGAATGAAGCAACGGTGCCGCTGTCGGTGGATGACGTCACGAGGAGCGCAGACGGATCGTCGTTGACGAAGTTCAGCAACGCCGTTATTGAAGTCTGCGACTACGATGGATACGCCGCGGCGTTACGTAGATATATCGCGTCGCGGTAAGACGGGGAAGACAGAGGCAGAAGCAGACACAGTGACAGCGTTGAGCTTTGGATCGCTTCTCCTGCATCCGCGTCAAGCTGAGGCTTTGTGGGGGCACACCGAGGCAGGCGACCGGAGATTACAATGGCATCTACGCCAGATTAGCATATGAATTAAGGGCCGGCCTCCCTCCTCATCTACTAGCTGCTGCTCGTCGAGCCACGCTCACTAACCCGCTTTCCCGCTTCTTCGTGCGTGTCTCTACGTCGCGTCCTCTCGCCACTTTCTTCGTCTCCCCGTTATACTTTGCGCCGCTCTTTCCCTCAGCTGTTCCGCGTTCTCCTCTTCTTTCCGCCCCTTTACGCGATTTACCCCCGTTGCGCGTTTCTATTCAAATCCGTTTGAGCGAACGACTTCGAGGACCAGCGGCAACTTCACCGAATTGCACGGTACAACGTTCTTCGGGTTCATGTTTCCGTGAATTTTGGGAACCGATATTTGGACGACGAGCTATTCGGAACACGCGATTGTGCGGCGCCGGTCTCCTCGCGTTCCTTACGACGCTGTACGTTCAAAATGCAACGATGCAAGGATGGAAACGGGTGATTTCTAAGTGATTTTTAATTAAATCGTGATTATCCATTATTTCTTATTGATCGATATGCCTTTTTTTTTCGTTCAGCAGGAAAGGTATGTTTCATAAATATTAATTGCACAATCGTGCATTTCCGTTCCTCTTTCAATAACATGATATTAATGAGTAACGCGTAATTCCTGCGCGATGCATGTATCGTGTAGGAACGAATTTTTATCGGGACATGCTTTTTTACGGTCGACGGATTGAAAGTTACGTATGGGTTGTCAACATGTATTACCGTGCGTTACCGGCAACGCTTTTTCCGATTCAATGAAAATATTTCATTCCTCGCTATTAAAATCGTTTATTTTTTATTGGAGTTTTTGATCGATGACGCAGCTTTTGTTAGATATTTCGAAACTATTATATAAGCCAAGGCATTGTCATTTTTAACAGCGGACTGCACGATAACTATTTCTATCGATAAAACTTTGATCGGTTTTGAAATATTTTAAATCACTGTAGATTTTAGTAAAAGCTCTAGTAATGAGTATATTAATGCTACGCACACTAGGAGAAAATTATTAATACTGATTATTTAATCGAGTTCGTAGTTTCAGAATTCACGTTATTAGAAACATCTAGTGATACTGATTAGATCGTTCTCACCTCCGCGGTTTTCACTGTCCGCCGGCTTCACTTGAATAGGACGGTTCATCTGCAACAAAGAAAAGACGAATTAAAATCACGTCAATATCATTTAACATAATATTAACATTTAATATAAAAAACGAGTTACGTATCGTTCATGAGAATTTATAAAACGTTATTTCATATTTAAAAGCACGAATTAATGTAATCTAATTCTGGTCCTTCGTCAAGAACCAGTTGACAGTCGCGATTGTTGGAAAATAAAGGTTAGTGAATGAGAAACGGTGACGAAGGACAACGAGTGAGAGCGAAAATGAGAGGGAAATGGGGTTAGGGCGGGTTGAAAGGATAGCCGGGGTCGGGGAAAGGGAGCCTGGCGCCCTTGCCGTGGACGTTTCGTTTTGCGAAAGTGCGGAACTTCGACACTCGTCCTTCGTCCTGTCCTCACGAAATCTTTCGGACCGTTGCGAACGGGTCGAGATCCCAGAGAACAAATAACATTGTTTATTTGTCGGACGGATCGCGCGACCGCAGAGCGCTCTAGTTCATTCCTAGGGGATGAGAATGCATGATTCATGACGCGGGGGACACGGGACCGTACTCCGATTCTCTCTCCCATGCCGTCGCCCTGCCGTCCCACCCCGTCTCTCTACCCGTTTTCGGTCCGGCTGTTTGGTTCCTGAGGATCCTTCTTTTTGTCGCTGCAAAACCGTCCCTCGGCCGATGTGTGTTATCCCGATGCCGTTCACAGGAATTTTGTTTACCTGTTCTCTTTGCCGATTTTTTTAAGCGAACGTAAACCCAATATCCGAATTGGATTAGTCGAAATTTAACGGTCGCACAGTTTTCCTACCAATATCGACTCTCAGAGGTTTAATCGAACAGCTATCCGAACTCTGATGACGTATGAAATTCTACCGATGATAAAGTATTGATCCCACAGATAACGTTTCCATTAAAGATGCATTGTATCGTTAAATAATATTCAAATAATTATTCAATAGAACGGAATTGATTTCCAAATCGGCACAAGAAACGGTTCGTGAAACTCGCAATAAAAAAATTTCATTGGAATCCTGAGAATCTGTTCCTTAGCGGGATAATATGTATGGCCACGGCAAGCATTGCGGCCATCTGTCTTTCTGACTCGCTGCTTTTTTTTTCATCATGCACTATCTCCCATAAGAATTGTAGGGAGAGAACCCGCTGGGGTAGAAACATACGTGGCAGCCCCGAAACTTTTTCCTCGTGCATGCACGTCAGATACCACTGGGGGTTGTTTCTGAGGGGTCAGTGCCACGACCATGTGGATCCCCTGCAGAAACTATGTATATCCGCCAAGCGCAGGCAAGATTTCCGGGTTCAAAGCCCGCTACGAAGTACACGCGTCGTCTCTCAGCCCTTTAATTTTCCTATATTGCGTTTAACAATCGTATTATTACTGACATTATACGTAATATCAAATGATAAAGGAGGGAACATACGAGTCGATATTAGAACTTCTTTAGTTCATTAATAAATTACTGTTGATTTATTTTATTAATTTATTATTTACAGGGAGATATTCCGTTTTTTCACTGTTTATATTAATTAAATTGATTAATACGCATCGTGTTTGCGTTTCATGAGACGAAACAATCTATTCGCACACTCAATGTAATAAAGTATCGAATACACGACGACAATGTTCGCAATCGTGTCTGCTGTCAGTTAATTGATCGAGCACTAATGTAGCCAGCGCGAGACACGTCTCAGGAGAAGGTAGTCATCATTGGTTACTGTTCAATAACCCGTGGAAGCTATGCCAATTTCTCAGCTCGTCGATTGATGAAATTACGAAACTTCGCGGCGCGCGCGACGCTCGACGAAGTTTCGACTTTAGACAAACAAGAAAATCGATGAAAGTGAGACGGGAAGCGGATGGGAAGGAAGAGGAACCGGAAGACGCGTGGTTTCATGGATAATGAGGAAGAGACGAGTAAGGGACGAAGGCCAGGTCACTATAAGCGCTGTCCTTCTAGTCAGGAAATTAAACTTTGAGTTGAGCACTGGCCATTAGGCGTTTGTTGTTGGCTCGTTGTCAGGGAAACCCCATGTCCGTATAGATACTGGAACCGAGATACGACGTTCCCAACCCCCCTTTCTCTCCCTCTCTCTTTCTCTCTCTCTCTCTCTCTAGCCCTCTCTCTCTCCAGGGAAGTTTAACGCTGAATGCATCGTGTAAATGTCACTTACGACCCGAGGGATCTGTACCAGTCAATAACGATCACCGGGCGAGACTTCCACGGGCCGTATTGCCGGATATAGACGTGCCGATTAATGTAGACAAGTATTAACTACCGCTCGTTAACGACGACTTCATTATGGATGAATAGTTTCACTCGTAGTTGATTAGTGTAACAGAACGAATGGCTGTTAATGATTTCAGCGAATTAACTGATTTCCAAAGAGCACATGATTTTCATGTACGTCAAGTATTCAAGTGAAAGTATGCTTCGCTAATACATTTTATAGTACGTTATATGGCATTAAACGAAGGAGCGATACTAAAGGCCTCATGAATTTTGTCGCGCTAAAAATAATTTGAAAGGTCGAGGCTTAGGTAAGGTAAATACTAAGAAGTTACACAGGCCGCGCCTTTATTTAACGATTTCGTCGTGATCACGTGCCGAGTCTTCGACAATTCGTGTCATCGTCGGCCATGTGCAGTTAGAAAATCGATCCCCTTGAGAGGCACCACTCAAGATGGATGGTAATAAGTAAATGTGTTTGCTCAGCCCAGAGCGCGCATCACGAGCAATTAATTAAGCTCGATTATCTATGTACACTACGGGAAAGCTCGTCTTGCTTCCGCCGCGCCGTGTAGATGCTGAGTAATAGCCACGAGCTCGGGGAACTGTACCGCGTAATTGTATCTGTTTAATTTCGTTCCACTTTGTACGACAGGATGTAGAGCAAAAAATACAAAGAACCCGGCCTGCTTTGTGAGCCAATGACACATGAACGAAGCTAGTGATAACAGGATCAATCCAATTTTTCTAGGACACACCTTACGATTTCAGTATATAAAGTTTCAACAATGAAAGTTAGAAATCTACAGATTAATCATCGAACAATATTAAAGATCGACTAGATAGCGTATCGTGTTTCGCCGAGCCTTAACGGCGCCTAATTAAATTAACCCTCTCTTCGAGCGTGCACAATCCGATTCTTTTCCCTTACGAAAAACGCTACGATTTCTACAAAAGCCACGCAAAATCCAGATAGATAGGGGATAGGTGGAGGTTGATAACTGCCGAATTGAATGGTGAATGCCGGTTCGGAAATTGAATAAGCTATCGTGTCTGAGCCCAGCCGTCGAGCGAAGCCCGGTATTTGACCTGGCTGCGTGCAATCAATGTACTGATTGGAGATAAGGGCTCACCCTGTAGCCCCTGGCATCCTCCCCGGCATGATTTATATACATACGGTCTTCGCAGCCGATGTATTCATTACTTGATTACCCTTCGGCAAGTTAATACCGTCGTGACCGTGTAACGAGCACAGATACCGGGATACCTTATATTCTGCTCGCTACCCTCCCCTAATTTATGATCGCTGTATTCTTCTTCTTCTTGCGAGCCGGAAGAGTAATTAGGCGCTGCGGATCCCGTTACCCTTCAATTCTTTCATTACTCTCACCAGCCTCATTTGATGTTCGTTCAGTACTCCGTTGCCTCTTTAAGGAACAATGAATTTCACCTTATTCCTACCCTTACGTTACGTATTTGTTAAACCTTTAGTATCGCGTGATTAAACGCGTTTCAATTAACAATTACAGACAAGGTAAAAATAACAAATTGTAGGAAGTATTTTCTCTCATTTTATAATGAGAAAAATCACGTTTTATTTAAACGCGTCAGAAAGTCGAAACGTTATTCGCGTGGATTTTAGCCAACGTGGATTATAATTCTCAGAGTAAGGTCCGTATCCGCAAAGACATTTCGGCAAATTCGTTTCGCCGGTACTCTTAATTACGGGAATTCGCGTGCGCCAGCGAGCGCGCGGAGGCATCGCTGGTTCGAGTTAACTTCAATAATTTGCCGCCGCGCGTATCCAGTCGGAAACTGTGCTCCGCAAAATCTGTACCCGCGCCCGGCACCGCTAATACAGCTAATTTGTCGACTGCTCCGAAAGCAAATGCGTCTCTCTTCTCCCTTCGCGTTCCGCGTCGGATGCCGCGGACGCGGCTCGGATCAATCTGCCTCCTACCAGATTACGACTAAATGGAATCCAGCTGAACTAATTGACGAATTAACCGGGATCTCAAAACGAATCGACCCGTCGTCATTCGCCCGTCGATCTCTTAACGAGCGATCGTTCGGTATTTCCGCGCGCGATCGACGATCAACCGGTTGGGAACGATCACGGGAATCGTCGCGCGTCAGAGGTTCGACCTATTGTTTTCACACAGTATTGCGTACAATTGCCAAATGAATTTGCTCGACGTATCGCATGGTTGGCCGAGTTATCAGCGTCACTTCGTTTTCCCTTCTTCCTTTTTTTTTTTTTGATGCCAGTGAACGACACAATACGACTCTCAGCATCGGTGATAACTCATATTGAAACCTGGGTTACGACGCAGGCTGGCATGAATAAACGCACCTGCGTCGTCGGTAGGAATGCTGTACGATTTTCTACCCGCCGCCGCCGCTGGCTTGCTTGAGCGTTGATGGTGATTATAAATAGGATTTGCGTTTTATCGTCGTGGACGAGGTACGTCCCGATCGAATATTTTGTCATTCAGTAGCTCGCATTTGCGAATAAATTGAAAAATCATGTGAAAAAAAAAATACCCGTTCACCGTGACGGGCAGAACCGTGGTCCATTCAAGAAATGCTCCATCAGGCAAGTGATTATGTTTGCAAAAATATGTATTTGCGTCCGTTTGTTTCAAATTATTTATGATGCATGAAGTAATAATTATAAGCTGCAATTTACGATTCGTAACATCAATATTTCCATAATTCATATGAATTGAATTAATTAGCTTAAAATTACTGAATATAATTCATTCGTTTTATTATA